TCTTTTGGAGAAGTCTTTGAAAGCACATAAAAATTTAATTTTTAAAAGGTTCCATTCATCTAGTTTATCTTCTGCTGTTTGTACATTTTGGGTTATGCTTCACAGTCTATTTTTGCCATAAATTAAGGCCCCTAAATTGGCCCCTATTTTTTCCTTAGGAACTTTATAGTTTTAGGTTTCACTTTTTAAGTTTTTGGTCCATCTGGAGTTCGTTTTAGCATATGGTGTGAGGTACAGATCTTGTTTCATTTCCTTTGCAAATGGATAACCAGTTTTGCCAGCACCATCTCTTCCCCATTTAATGAATTTCAGCCCTTTGTAAAAAATCAGCTGACCATAGGTCGATAGATGTATTTCTGGGTTCTCAATTCTCTTCCACTGGCCTTTCTGCCTGTTGTTGTACCAATACCAGGCTGTTTTGACTACTGTGGCTGTATAGTAGGTTTTGAGATCCAGGAGTGGGACATCTGCTGCTTTGTTCTTCTTCTTCAATAGTGCTTTGCTTATCCAAGGTCTCTTTCCTTTCCATGTAAAATTACTCATTTTCTCCATATCTTTAAAGAATGTTAATGAGATCTGGATTGGGATTACATTGAATATATAGATTGTTTTGGGTAGTATTGACATTTTCACTATGGTGAATCTTCTATCCACTAGCATGGTATGTTCTTCCATTTATGTAGATCTTTTATAGTTTCTTGAAGTAGTCTTTTGTAGTTTTCTTTATATACAGGTCTTTTGTGTCACTAGTAAGATTTATTCCCAATATTTTATTTTATTTTTTTGTTAGCTATTGTAAATGGTATTGATTTCCTTTTCAGTAATCTCTTTGCTGGTGTACAGGAATTCAGTTGATTTTTGTATGTTGATCTTGTATCCTGCTGCTATGCTAAATCTCTCAATTACGTCCAGTAGTTTTTTTGTTGTTGTTGTTGTTGCTGTTTGTTTTTGCTGAGTCTCTTCGGTTTTCTTTGGATAGGATCATATCATCAGCAAATAGGGATAGTTTGACTTCTTACCAACTTGGATGCCTTTGATTTCCCTTTCATATCCTTTTCTTATTGCCCTGGCTGGGACTTCCAATACAATGTTGAATAGAAGTGGTGATAGAGGGCATCCTTGTATGGTTCCTGTTCAAAACGGGAATGGTTTCAGTCTCTCTCCATTGAGAATAATGTTGGCTGTGCACTGCAGTCAAGTCAGATCCAACTCATAGCAACCCCTCCTTGGATTTCCGAGGTGGCATCACTATGGAAGTAGATTGCCCAACCTTCTTTCTGAGGAGTGGCTGGTGGGTTTGAACCACCAGCCTTCTGGTTAGCTGTCAAATGCCTTAGGCACTATGCCACTAGAGTTCCTTTGGTTTTGCATATATGACCTTTATTATGTTGAGGATTTTCCCTTCTAGTCCTAGTTTGCTGAGAGTTTTTATCCAGAACGGGTGTTGTATTTTTCAAATGCCTTTTCTGCATTGATTGATATGGTCATGTGATTCTTTTCCTTTGTTTTCTCTATGTGATGGATGACATTGATTGTTTTTCTAATGTTGAATCATCCTTGCATACCTGGTATGAACCCCACTTGGTCATAATGTATTATTTTTTAGATATGTTATTGGAGTCTATTGGCTAGGATTTTATTCAAAATTTTTGCATCTATATTCATGAGGGATACTGGTCTATAGGTTTCCTTTTTAGTGATGTCTTTGCCTGGTTTTAATATCAAGGTTTTGCTTGCTGCATAAAATGAATTTGGGAGGATTTCATCCTTTTCTGTGTTCTAGAATAGTTTGAGTAGGATTGGTGTCAATTCTCTCTGAATATTCAGTAGAACTCTCCAGTGAAACCATCTGGACCACGATTTTTTGTTGGTATTTTTTTTAAGACCTGTTCAATTTTTTCTTTTGTTATGGGTCTGTTCAAATTTTCCACCTCAGTCTGTGTTAGTTTAAGTGAGTAGTATGTTTCTAGAAATCTGTCCATTTCTTACAGATATTCAAATTTGTTGGAGTATAGTTCTTCATAGTATCCTGATAGTATCCTTTTAATTTCTGTTGGTTCTGTTGTGACATCACCAAATTCATTTCTTATTCATGTAATTTGTATTCTCTCCTTCTCTTCCTTTGTTAAATTTGCCAGTGGTTTGTCAATTTTATTAATCTTTTCAAAAAACCAACTTCTAGTCTTGATTTTTTCTATTGTCATTCTATTTCCTGTTTCATTTCTTTCTCCTTGAATATTTATTCTTTCTTTCTCCTGGTGACTGTAGGCTTTTTTTTTTTGCTGCTTTTTCTCTAATTGTTGGAAATGTTGGGTTGTGTTGATTTTGACTCTTCTTTTTTGATGTGTGCATCTATTGCTATAAATTGGACTCTGATCACTGCTTTTGCTGTGTCCCAGAGATTTTGGTGTGCTGTGTTTTTATTCACTTTGAAGACTAACGTGTGCCTACCCAAGCTATGGTGTTTTCAATCACCTCATATGCATGTGAAAGCTGAACAACGAATAAGGAAGACCAAAAGAATTTATGCCTTTGAATTATCATGTTGGCAAAGAATATTGAAGATACCATGGACTGCCAGAACAACGAATAAATCTGTCTTGAAGGAAGTACAGGCAGAATGCTCTTTAGAAGCAAGAATTGCCAAACTGTGTCTCTCATGCTTTGGTGATGTTATCAGGAAGGACCAGTCCTTGGAGAAGGACATCATGCTTGGTAAAGTAGAGGGTTAGCAAAAAAGTAAAGACCCTCAATGAGGTGAACTGACTCAGTGGCTGCAATGATGGGCTCAAGCATAGTAAAGATTGTGAGGATGGTGCAGGACTGAGCACTGTTTTGTTCTCTTGTACACAGTGTTGCTATGCAGATCTAAATCAAGGGAAGCTAACAACAACAACAACTGTGTAATAGCAAAATATAAGACACACCTGAAATATCCAATACGGTCCTTCTATCCAGTGAAGTAGTACAAAGTCATTAAAAAACTGTTAAGTGAAAAAATGAAGGGGTGACCCACATGCACAGTGAGGGTGGTTTGATTCTAAAAAGGGAAACCTGCATATATTACAGGGTAGCTTTTACCAGTGTCGTCCACATATTTTTTAGAAAATTTCAAGCCAGTATGGTTCAATGTCCAAAGAATATTTATGTTCGGGTGAAGGTGTCCTTTTACATCACACTGCACTACAGGTTCTAGGATCCCATCTACACAGCTTCAGCTTTATGGGGCTTACCAAGACCCTGGAGCTTTGAAAATGGTTATCCAAATGATAGTTTGGTTAGTATTGAATTAAAATTTTAGGGCTCAGACAGATGTCACTGGAGTCAATAAAGGCCTCATCATGCACCATGAGTGGATTCACTCTAAGGCCTTCTCTAGCACTGATGCTAGTCAATAAACCCTCTGGCCTCAATGTAAGCTCTCCTGTGAACGTAGTCCCTCTTGACTTGGTCCCTTCTTCATGGGATCTACCACATGCCTTTTCCTTTAAACCTTCTCATTTTCTCTTTCATCTCCTAACCCAGGTGGCCCTAATCTACTCTTCAAAAGAATCTATTTATTTTTACGGATAAACCATATGACCTCTTCAATCAGGATTTCATTTCTGTCAAAATCCAGCTTTTCTTCAATAAATTTTTGACTTTCAGCACATGTAGTCTCATGTTTTTTTAAACAAGTAATTTAAAACTGTAGTGGACATTTGTTAGTTGCCTGTCCCCTTTCCCAACATTACCTTGATTTCCATTCATATATCCACTCCTCCCTCGTGTAGCCTATAAGCTATATACCTACCACTACAGGGGGAGGCTGTTCTATTTCCTTGGCAATAAGCACCTGTTTTGAGGGTGGGCATGTGACCTAAGTTACCCCATTTAGGATGAATCTCAAAATGCTTGCTTGCAATGCTAAGACAAATTTTCTTTAGAGGTGAACCAGGAAATAGATATCCCAACTCACTAGCTTTGGCAAAGCATTTTGCTATATAAGAGAAACCAGTCTGAGGAGGAAATCAACCTACAGAAGAGAAAGAAGCCAAAGTCTTACTAAAACCATGCAGGAAACCTGTCCTCCTGCTGGATTTTTCAGTCATACTCACTGCCGTCGAATTGAATCCAACTCACAGAGACCCTTCCTTGGGTTTCTGAGGCATCTCTATGGAAGTAGATTGCCTGATCTTCCTTCTGAGGAGTAGATGGTGGGTTTGAACTGCCAACCTTCTGGTTAGCAGTCAAATGCCTTAGGCACTAAGCCACCAGAACTCCCTTTCAGTCACATGAGCCAGTAAATGTCTGGTACTTTTTCACCCAAAATGTTAACTACAACCAGTAGTATACATTCAATTAACTTCCTTGTTCTGTTTGTAGTTCTTAATGAGCTCTGGCAGCACAGTGGTTAAGCACTCAGCTGCTAACCAAAAAGGTCGATGGTTTAAACCCACAAGACGTTCTGTGGAAGAAAGATGTGGCAGTCAGCTTCTGTAAAGGTTACAGCCTTGGAAACCTTATGCGGAAGCTCTACTCTGCCCAATTGGGTTGCTATGAGTCAGAGTCGACTCAACAGAATATGGGTTTTGTTTTGGGGAGGCAAAGGAAAGGAAGTCCTCAAAAAGAAAAAAGTCAGGGCAACAGGGCAAAAAGCTTCAGTTTAATTGCTCCAATCTTTATACTGCAACATATATGCGTGTACATACACATAACTTATGTACACACAGATAGAAGACATTAAATAGAGATTTCTTTGGGGAGAGAGATCAGGAATTGGGTTAAGAGACTCACTTTTTACCAAGTCTCCTTCTGCAGTTTTTTTTTTAACCATGTACTTTTTTACATTAAATATAACAAAAAGTAAATTATCAAAAAAGAATTTCTCAAAAAGCAGCTTTTACTCAAGGAGCTTACTAACATAGTAGGTACAGTAGCACCATGAAGCCTTTTCATACTATTCTGATCATATAAAATATTTGTTGTTATTAAAAGTCCTGCTATACAACCAAAAGTCCTTATTTGTCATCTTTCCCTTTTGTCTTTCGGTACACCATCTCTCGGAAACTGGCTAGAATCTTATTCTCTCTCTTGTGTCTCTCTTCTTGGTTAAAGAATGCAAGGGCTCTCTTCTCATCAGCACTGTAGATCTGGTTCTCTTTCCGCAGTCGTACAGCCTCCATTCTGCGATGCCTGCTACCACTCATGACATAACCTGAGCATTCAAATGACGCGATCTCTTCACTTGTCAGCCCGATTTCACCTCTTCGTGGGATACGCTTTCCAGCTTTTACATACTGAGCCATAGCTGCACCTTCACCTGGGAGTAGAGCATGGCCATAGTTCAGAGGTCTCTCATCTTGAGAGGAGTGTATTATAGGTGCTTCTGGGCCTACTAAACCCATGGTATCTGCAATCTTTGACTGCTCGATCCACATATCTTCTGGCAACTCCCCTTCTGAATCCTTACAGGTTGAGTCACTAGATTCTTTTTTAGTCTTCTTACTGTTCTTTTTCTTGTATTTTCTGGTTCTGTGCTTCTTTTTCTTCTCTTTCTTCTTGGCCTTTCTGGCTCTCTTTTTATCATTACCAAAGCTAGAATTAGTGTCAGAGTCTGAACTGCTGTCACTAGCATCAGAATACTTCCTATGTTTTCTTCTGGATGACTTCTTCTTTCTTTTTTTCTTGTTTTTTGAATGACTGGCCTTCTTTTTCCTTTTCTCTTCTTCCCAGCTAGAATCTGAACTGCTGCTCTTCTGAGTCTTTGCTTCATCCTCAACTGGAGTCTGTTCATCAGAATCTGGCTCAGGGCATTTTGGAGACAGACCCCATACCTCAGAGGCTCCCAACTCCCCAATCCTCTCTCTCTCTTTCAGCCGTCTCTGACGACGGCTCTCCTCCCTCTCCTCTTCATAGTCTTCAGCCCACTGCCGGTTGCCAGCATAGTGGTGATGATGGTAGCGGTATCCGTCATAACAGACAGAAGAGGAAGTTGAAAAAATGTAGTTGCGGAGCCCAGGGAGTCGCTCTCGCGACCCAGAGCATCTAAGTGTGTGAGGAGCGCCGACGCCCGACACACCCCATGGAGGCCTTAGGCCCTCACGGTCCCGGGGCTGAGAGCGGGAGCGGCCCCTCCGAGAGGAGCGTCTGGCTTGCGCGGATGGCGGGCTCCCAGATGAGCTGCGTCTCCGTTTCCGTCTCCGAGAGCCCGGGGAATCCTCAGGATAACGGGACCGGGATACAGGCGCCATCTACTGTCATTTTACAGGTCACCAAATGGTCAACGCAGGGCGATTACTACAGACGCCGAGACCAACAGACGATTCAGGCCTACGCAGGCGCAATAGAACTGCTCCAGCGCGTGGCTTCCATTTCCGGTGGTTGCTAGGCAATGCTCAGACCCCCCCCCCCCCGCCTTTGTGTCCTGATGGGGCTTCCTAGGGTGGCAGCTTCTCGTCTCGGAGATTGGAGACCTGGGATGACCTCTTTTCGGGCCTTAAATTCCGCAACCTGAGATTCGTGGTAACTTAAAAGGAAGAAACTGCACGAAGGGTCCTTCCACTTTTAAAACCTTTCACTGTCTTGCTTCTCCCCATTCATTCCTCCACCTGCCTTCTCTATTTTAACCTAGTGCATTCAGTTGCCACGCTCCCCATCCCCTAAAAGAGCTTGGCCACCATCTACATGGTGTAAATGCCTTTCTGGTAACTGCCCAACCCTGCTGGTCTCTGTTGGAAGCAAAAAGCAGGAACCAGAACTTGTATAATCCAAGTTTGAGCTCAGCTTCTGAGTCAAATGAGGAGCAGAGGCATACTAATTCTTACGTTCACAGACTTCTTCATCCCAGAAACACAAGAAAGCATCCAACTAGATTTCTAGATCTAGATTTCTCCTGTGTGCATTTCCTCAGAAACTTTGTAAGTTAGAAACCACTTCTGCACACATTAGATCTCACTCTTCGAAATGATAAACATTTTATGGAAGACCATTTCTCCCTACTCTTAAAATGTACATAGGCATTACATTTCTTGTGTTCTCTGATTAAGTTAACCTGCTCAGTTGGTTGACAAACTTGAAAAGTCACAAAAAAAGGTAGGTCAAAACTCAGGAATGTTACCCTTCTAAGACCAACCCAATAAAATTGGTAAATTTCGTTTAATAGGAGTAAATGAGATAACTTGATCTAACTAGAATTTTAATAATATTATTGAAGGAGATAAGGACTGTCATGGTACCATGCTACAAATTATGATAACTGAAGAATTGGCAAACAGGAAGGAGTATTATAGGTGAGAAGCACTTTGTATACTGAAACTATCACAATAGATTAGGTAAATTAGATTCTCTGTGAGCTCTGGTAGCATAATGGCTAAAGCACTTGACTGCTAACCAGAAGGCTGGTGGTTCAAACCCACCAGCCACTCCTTGGAAGGAAGGTTGGGCAATCCTACTTCCGTAGTGGTAACTGCCTCGGAAACCCAAGGAGGGGTCGCTATGAGTCGGGGCCGACTCGACGGCACATAACAACAACAATGTGAAAATTTTTCTTTTGGAGTTATAAACTACTTGGGAGGCTCCACTGACAGATGGGTGGTAGCTGAACCCAGGTTTCCAGCTGGAAGGTGAGAATTCTACCACTGAACAACCATTGTTCTTTTAACTGGACCTAAGTACTACTGTCAAACTGTTCTCGTTAAGAGTCTTTGTATTCCTACATCTATGTCAACACTGTATTATCCAGCTTTCTAATTTTTGCCAATCTAACTAAAGTGGTAGCTCTTTGTTTTAAAATGTGCATTTGTGTAAGTACATCTATTGCTAAAACCAGTACTAGGAACTGCTGAAATACTTAAACAGAGCAGCTAAAATCATACTCAAAACAAAACAACTCACACAGAGCAAACTAAAATGAAGAGCTAAAAACTGCTGGGGTGGGGGTGGGGGCAGTGCAGAGAAATACAGGTTTGTATGCTTGTCTCTCCTTTCTGCCTATGTTAGGGAAGCTATTTTTCTGTCAAGTGGCTCACCGTTATCAAATAGCTGGGAGTCTAGACAATTTATTTATTTAAAAATGAAATCTAGAAAATGAAAGCCAAAAAACATCTTGTAGGCACATTAAAAAAAAAAAAAATCCTATAAGCACATCATTTGCATCTTTTACACCACTGCTTTTTTTTTCACACACAAAACCTGTAGCTGTTAAGTGAATTCTAACTCATAGTGACCCTATATAATATAGGAGAACTGCCCCGTAGGGTTTCCAAAGCTGTAATCTTTACGAAAGCAGACTGCCACATCTTTCTCTTGAGGAGCGCCTGTTGCCTTTTAACTAAGGACCTTTCAGTTAGCAGCAGGGTACTTAACCAACTGACCTTTAAGTCAGGGGTGGGAAAACTACAGACTACAGACCAAAACTGACCCACTACCTGGTTTTGTATGGCCTCAGTGAAGAATGGTTTTTCCATTTTTAAATAGTTGGGGGAAAAAAAAATTAAAAGAATGATAGTATTTTGCGACATGTTAAAATTACATGAAATTCAAATTTGTGTCCATAAATAAAGTTTGTTTATTTATTTATTTATACTTGATAAGAGGTGGATTTTTTTATGGTGATAGTAAAATCCTAATATTGGACTTGGAATATTGTATCAACCGCCAAACCTCTAATCAGGTATCCTTTAATGGTTTGCTATATTTTTAATTAATGCAAGACTAAACTATTTCTATTGTTCCAATTGCTTTGCAAACTAAAATGCTCTTATAAGGCATATATTCACATCTTAACATGTAGTAAAATGCAGGAGAGCTTAGCAGATTATGTAAAATACAGCTATAACTGTATTATACCATGTTATGTATTGTGTTCTATAAATGGCAAGCTCTTTTTATTGTCACTCCTTGGAAGGAAGATTGGGCAATCCACCTCCATAGAGATACCACCTCGGAAACCCAAGGAGGGGTTGCTATGAGTCGGGATCAACTCCATGGCAGTGAGTTTGGTTTTTTGGGTTTTTTTTTTTTGGTTTATTATTGTTCAATTATAAGTTATGTATGCCTTCTATTGATTTATTCTGCAAACTGATAATTTTATGTTTTCCACCCAGTACTTAGATGAATGAACACAGAATGTAATGTGCTAAAAAAAAAAAGTGATGCTTTTGCATGAACACTTCCTGCAAAAGGGCTTTTTCTCAGGTTTTTTTTTTTTTTTTTTTTTTAATTTAATCGACTAAGCTCTAAACTTGACTGAAAATTTTCCAACATTTATTAGCATTTTATTGTTTCTCCAAAGACCTGACAAAATGTTCAAAACTGTCTATTTTGTTTCAGATATCACTGTATCTTAAGAAATACTCTGCTTTGGAACAAGCACCTCATTTTCAATTCAAGCCATATTTTCAAAATTTCTATGAAAAGTTACAAGTATGTATACATGTAGAGAGACTACTATAATGCACCCCTGTTACCCATTTTCAACAACTATCATTGTGGCATTTTCTTTGTTTTGTTCTCTCTTTCTTTCTGGGTGTTTTAAAACAAATCCCTGACATTAATATCCATTCACTCACAAGTAGAACTACTTCGGTATGAATTTCTAACAAATAAGGACTTTTTTTCTTAAAATAACCATAGTATCATTATCCTACTCAACAAAATGATAGAACTTCCTTAATATCATTGGGTTCAAGTTTTCCCATTTGTCTCAAATGTGTCTTTTTATACTTGTTTCTTCCAGTCAGTTTTAATATTGCATTCAGCTGTTATGTCTGTTCACTCTGTTTCCATCTAGGACAGTTCCCCTTTCACCTACTCTTTTAAAAAAAAATAATAAAATAACTTTTTATTGTGATTTGAGTGAAAGTTTACAGAGCAAATCAGTTTTCCATTCAACAATTCAAATACATTTTGTTTTGTGACATTGATTCCAGTCCCGCAATGTAACAGCATTCTTCCCACTTCTTGTGTTTACTGTTTCCATTTGTCCTCCTTTCCATCATTCCTACCTTTGAGCTTTATCCCTGGGCAAATCATGCCCTTTTGATCTCATATGGTTGATTGTTCTAAGGAATGCTTACCTCCCTGGTGCTCACCTTATAGGCCTGTCTATCATTAGGCTGAAAGTTGAGCCACTGCGGTGAGTTCAGTTCCAGTCCTGAAGGGTACCTAAGGCACCACAGTCTTGAGGGTCCCACAAGTTTTCATCAGACAAGTAAGCCTGGTCCTCTTTAAGACTCTAGTCCCTACTTGCCAGAATTGGCTGTAGAACATTATCTTTGTGGAAAATGTTATGCCAGTTGACCTTGATGTCAGACTATGGTCCTGAGCACCCATGTCCAAGAACTCATTCCCTCAGGGTGTTTCTTATGGCTAAGAAGTTTTCCTAACTTTGTCCCCTTAGAATATGTTCTATTATATTCATGGATATATTTGCACCACATAAAATACATATAAAGAAAAACCCTCAGTCAAACCTGTATATATTCATGGGTGTAGTCCTGTTCTCCTCCCACTCCTGTTCAGCTTGCATATCTATCTATATAATCATTCATAAATTATTGTTAGTACTGTTATTGCAGGATTGTGTATGTAATAGAATTTACCTTTGTTGCTTTTAGTTCTTATGCTTTTTTCAGTGTCTTCCTTTGTCTTGACCATTTTGTGCTGACTTCTCCCTTATTGTATATTGCCTTTCCATTCACCCAAGTTAATATGTGCCTAACATCTGTTGAATGATTTACCCTCACATGCCCTCCCACCTGTGGTTACCTTCAAAGAATGTTTCTTTCTATGAGTAAACCCATTTTTTACTTTTTATAGTCATGGTATCATACAATACATGTTCTTTTGTGTTTGACTAATGTTTCTGCCACCTTTTGCATGTCACTTACTTGTACTGTGGTGCCTTGCATGTTGTTCTGATGCTGGAAGCAATGCGACTAGTATTTCAAATACGAGCAGAGGCACCCATGGTGGGTGGGTTTTACCAGAGCTGCCAAATGAAGACAGACTAGGAATAAGGATGCGGCAGTCTACTTCTGAAAAAAAACTGGCTACTGTAAAGCTTATGAATAGCAATGGAACATTGTTTGATATAGTGCCAGAAGATGAGTCCCTCAGGTTGGAAAGCACTCAAAATATAACTGGGGAAGAGCTGCGTCCTCAAAGTAGAATCAATTTTTATGATGTGGATGGAATCAATCTTTCAGGACCTTCATTTGCTAATGTGGCATGACTCAAAATGAAACAGCTA